TTATGCAGAACTGGACTTGTTCATATGGTAAATAACTGCAGTGCTCTGATTTCCAAGGAGAGCTGCTTCTTCCACAAGGGCTGGTTTTAGCAGGAAAGTGTTACATCTATATTGCTTTAAACATACAGCTTCAAGATGCTGATTTTAGTAATGTCTCAGGTCCAATATAACAATTACAATACTAAAAATGAAAATGGTATCTTAGACATTCCATTATCATTAAAGTTCATAAGACACTATGTTGTCATTCCCACAAAACATCATCACTGTCTTGCAGGGAAAGAAAGGAACAATATCTCTGCATTGGTGGTCGTTTTTAATGCTATAAGCCATGTACAAAATCTGTCATACAGTCAGCAACCACAAGATCCATTCATATACCTCAGAGCTGTCATACAAACTCCCAAGGTAGTTTACACTCACATGAGGATGACTCCCCAGCAGCCTGAAATGCTGGGGTTTCAACCCCAAGCCCCAAATTAAGGTTGACATGTGGGTGATTCCCACAGCCCTTCACAAAGGGGGGGTGAGTTTGCCTTTAGGCTTCCCTCCAGGGTGCAGTGGCCTTGCAGACAGAGCCATGGGGTAAAGGAGCCCCAGGTGTCTGCATTCAGTAACCCAAGGTCAGGTGTCCCACTGAGGGATAACAGCTGGGACCACTTGCAGGAGGGGCAGTGTCTGTCTGTGAGGTGGATGCCCTGTGCAGAGCTCCCTGTTGGGGAAGGACCTCCCGTCTCCCTGGGACTGGGCTCCAGTCAGGTCTGGCTTTTGTAAACGTGGACTGTGTAGAAATTCAGTATGTGGCTTCCTTGGTCTTATGTGTTTGGCTTGTTGACTCAGTTGTCTCCTGTCCCTTCTATGGGAAACTGCATTTCACCATTTATTCCACCCATTGTTGGGGTCAGTGAGATTGATGTCAATTATCTATAATCTGATTGACTTGTTTGTACCCCCAGTGCTCACCCATGTACTGATCCTTCTGTATCAAATACAATTTAGTTATTGGTTCATCTTTATGCTGGCTGTGTCCTTTATGCTAGGCCTAATAATTGGCAAAACACAGCCCCAGTGCTCTATCACATAGGGCAGTTCCCAGATACACCTGCATCTCAACATGCCCTTCAGAAGCCCTAGCACCAGTGCAGCACTTGAACAGCTTGAGAGCCATATGCAGCTAAAGAATCAAAAGGTTAGGCACATCTTACCTATTGTTATAAATAGATTGTAAGATCCTTGAGAGGAAACGCATTGTTTGCTCAAGACCCAATACAACAAAATCCCTGTTGATGAATTGGCCTCAGAAGTGCTACTGCTATACAGGGTAGCTTGTGCAAAGCCAGTTTGCTTCAGTGTAGTAAACATTAAAATATGGATGCAACAAACATTAGCACACAAAGCTTATTCTACAAGGTAGTATGTATTCCACATCTTCCTCTGAGAACTAATAATCTTATTTTTTCCTCTTTTCTCTCAAGTTTTCTGCAATGTGGAGCAGCAGTTCTGCAACGTTTATGGGTTGCAGATAACCATTTGCCAATATTCAAAAAGATATACAGATTTTTTTTAATATATACACTATTAAAGCTAAGTATTTCAAGGGCTAATATTTGGGGAAGCCTAGCATTATGACACTCTGTAGAGAAGAACTGAAGGGCAATAGACCAGGTTTTACTCAGTTTGTGAGAGCAAGTTGTAATCTGACTAAGTGGTAGCACTAATACATGGAGAGGATAAAGAAAAGAAAAAGGATGAAAGAAGTTGAAGACACATACATGTTAAGGGATCTGCTGTACTATCACCCTGTGGCTTAACATTATTTCACCACTTTATCTTCTCACCTGCTGTCTTAGCAAAATAGTAATGAGAGGCATCACTACCACAAACTATCATCCACTTAAGACAGCAGAGGTATCATGAAGAAATAAAACTCAGATTTTGTCAGCAATTCTGCAGACTCCTACCACTTGTAATCAGGGAGATACCTCCTAAAAGGATATTAAGGAAAGTCCAGTGCGAGCCAGCTATGGGATGGTAACCTAAGTATGCAATGCACCAACCAGGAATCATGTGCTTTGACAGTCTCTCACATATACCTGAGGCCTGCAATAAGTCATTGCATCAGCAGGCCATCCAATAATCAGGTTCTCCAGTGTTCTTTGGTGTATCATCCATATTAAGAGCCACAAGTATAAGTAGAAGCCATTAATACCACAACTTTGGATTTTATTAACTGTGATAAAAAAGAAACTTGGCACCATCACTTCTTAAGACTGAATGTGCCTATGGTATTACCTCCAAGTCACTCTTTGGCCTCTGTTGAAATTTTACACATGCAATAGGATCTTTGCTGGTTATCTCCTCTCTTCCAAAGAATAACCCTAGTTTTTAATCAGCCTTACAGCTTAATGCAGTCCATGCAACTTATACCCTGCTATAGCTGAAGTCACAGTAAAATATTAAATACAGTATTTCCATGTATTGAATTTTTTATGTGCATCCTGTGTGGAAATCCAAAACCTTCCCACTGGGGAGAGTCTTCATACTTCGAGAAAAGAAAGTATAACTTATTTTTTACATCTTTTTGCTGTTAGGATTTGTCTTCAGTAAGAATTTGCCTAGTGACAGGGAACAAAAGGTTTACAAAAAAAAAAAATATCAGTTTGGGATGCACATAGGCATTACTTATTTTAAAGTGAAATACATTAACATTCAGAATTATTATGGATCTCAATCTCCTTACACGATAAACAAAACCAACAGCTCATGGATGTTCAAATTACATTGAGTTTATCAGTATAAAAATTAACCACATATTTAAATATGAAACTTTAAATCTTTGTTGTACATAAAATGGATATACTGCAACATAAAACAGTTGTAAAGTTTTAAAAAGCTCTTTCACCTCACTGTATAATGGAATTTCTCACTTTAAATCTTTTCAATTTTATTCTATATGCCAGTGCCCAATCTTTCTTACTAGAGAAAGTTGCTTAACATGAATTTAAGAAGAGTTCTGGGAGAGCTCTGGAAAAATTTAGGCATAATAGCTTCCTCAATTATTTCTTTAGATCTATTTTTAATGATAATTTTAAAACAATAAAAGTACCACTATATAATATCAAGAAGAAAATCAGCGTGATTCCAAATTATGCAGCAGCAAGAAAATCTGTGTTTATGACTGTTTTGTGCTTAGTTTTTAAACTTGATTCATCCTTTAACATAAGACCTCAGAATAAAAAGTGAGCTTCCTTTCCTGATCCTAATTATCTGTACTTAGTTATTAATATATGAATTTATACATATACACACTCTGCACATTTGTGTGCTACAGACATGCTCCATTATTATCTGTCTCAAATCTTTTTGCAAAGGCTCTTTGGCATGCAAGATATTCTTTTTACCGTTGGCTATAATCCCTTTTTCTTTGAAGGCCCCAAGAGTAGGAATAGATTTAGATAAAACTCCTTAATAGGACCACACAGATGAAGATCCATATAGCACAAGCTAAAATTATTGTTTCAGTAATCTCATTCCCTAAGGGAATTTTTAAACCTCCAGTAAGGTAATGATTACACTGATATCGCTACTGTGACAACAGTTTGCATAGACACACCAAAACAAGCTTTAAAATTAGACAACGTGAGTTACCAGCAGCACAGAACTGAACACAGGCTCCCTGCACACGTTTCCTCAGCTGTAAGACCCAGCTTTGCAGTACCCACACTGCTAGAAGTATCTGGACACCATACAAGACAGTAAATCACAAATCCTTGCTACTAATTTCATTACTTCCTTAAACAGAAAACAAGTTCTTTGTCCCAAATAGAGCACGACAAGACTTCATAATTAGAGACAACAGTCCTGAGGAAAAAAAAAACAACCTAATTATGCTATTGGCATCATCCCTAAAAAAATCTCACCGAATGATGCAACATATTCAAACCATTGTTTTGCTTTAGATAACAGTATTTTCCCAAACTGCATCTGAACATTTTAGTTAAATTGTTTATATTACCATGTCATGCCAGACAATATCTCCACATCACTACTGATTTGTACATTTTAAAGACAGCATGTATTTCCTATCTACCTCTTTCATCCTCATATTTAGTAACTGGTTTATAATTTAATATATTATTTGATATTATTTTAATATTTCAAAACTACATATTTATCAGAATTTGTTTTGCTCAAATTCCCCCGTTACTTGAGAGGTGTAGCTTTTCATGTTTTTTCAGTAAAGAACTGTTGAAAACATACTGTGTTTAGGACTAATTCTAGTATTTTGAAAATAGTATTAACAGCAGGAAATTTACCCCCACGTCCCATACTCTTTCACATTAACAATTTATTTTCTTCCATCATTTGAATGTAAATAACTCCTCTTGAATTAAAAGTTGTGAAAAAAACTCTTCCAGTTTTCTCTCTCAACTCAGCAAAATCTCTAAAGCATCACCTACATAAACTCTTTGAAACCATGATCACACTGAATTTTCTGAAACTAGAAGACAAACATACTTACACCATAACCAGAAGAAAGACAATAAGTATATACCAGTACTGCTTAACCGTATTAGGATATCATCTGTGATACTAGCTTTTAAGTGCTATAAGCACACCTATCTTTTAGGAACATTTCTTTATTTTTCTAGTACACTTTTATGGCTTTTTGTGAAAAATAGATCTATCTTACTTTAAATGCAACTTCCAAAATCTAAGTATAAAAACAGAGTTTGAAAGCATACTTCATCTTATGCAGACAGCAATATTAAAATATTACATCAAAATTTATATCTAATGGTTACTGAAGAACAAAACCATAGTTATGCATCACTAATTATACAAGCAACATCAGTGTTCTTAACATTTGGCAGTGTAGAACTGCAATTACATCATTAAGTACAATAGCTTTTTTAATTCTAACATGGAGATAAAGCCAATATAAGAGGGACAACTGCTCATAACTTCATACAGGATAAATGTAAAAGATATAGACTTACAGTGAATTCACAGAAATCGATGCTATCGAGACTTTTGCTTCTGTGTATTCTCCCTTTTATTCTTCTTAAAGAGGGCTTTCCCTGACTTACACTACAGGTAGCACCATTGGGATTTTCAGAAGATGGAGTTACCCTGTCAAACAAAAAGAGCCATATATCAGAATATATGTTTTTATTAAACACATTTGCTTAAAGTAAAAAATTTAAAAAGGATAAACATTGTCATGCTATACAAAGAAGGAATGCCATTCCAATCTTTGGTTTTCAATCAGTAAGTGCCAGAATAACACCACAGAAGCATGTAGAAATCTATCTCCCATCAAGTCCACCACTGCTTACAAATTCAATCAAAAACATACTGTAGTTACCATTTTTGTACAAAAGTGAGAAGTATCAGAAAAAAAAGATTACAGAAAAATATATTTAACTTCTGAAAAAGTAAAAGGAAGCTTTTTCTCCATTAATTCAGGGAAAAACTGAGCCCTCTGATACATGTCGATGGCTGCCAGTTAAATCAGTATAACTTTTCAGTATTTGGCTTTTGCCCTTTTCCAGTTTGAGTGCTAATGGCAGTTGAGCTATTCTAGCTATGAATAACACTGAACAAAAATTAATTAAGACCTGTTAAAAGTTATAGGGGTAATGTATTAAGGAACTACACTTTGTAAGGTCTTTCATCAGACTGTAGTCTACACAGTCCTAAAGGGAGTTCAACTAAAATATTTTGAGTAAGAAATCCACATTTCAAGGAGCTTGTTGGAAGTTGCTAATGGGTAGAAGTGGGGGTTAACAATTAACCAAATGTATTAAGGTTTGTGAGGTCAGTATTTTAAATGCAAAATAGTCTCTAGTCAGTCTGACACCACAGTAGAGAAAGGAAAATTGCAGTCCAACAAATATGGTCACCAAGAATCACCTAAAAACATAAAATTCTTAATATGCAGATTCACAATTGTTTCATATAATTTCTCAGCTGCAGCCATAAGAAATTTCAAAAACTAGTTTAAATGAGAAAGATGTCTCTGCATTTCCCAAGACTTCGAACAACAGTTCAATGTTCTCTTTAACTATTAAGATTCCTCTCAAATAATATTTAGGTATGTGGTTTAGGTTCTTTTACTTAGAATTAACAGCTTTGGTACGCACGTAAATGTTTTTACAAAAAAGAACGGTGGAGATGTCTTATACATGCACATGAACAAGAAGGGACATTTCATAGGGTGGGCCACATTCACACCTGAAATACAAAATTCAAAGTACTAAATACAATAGCCACAGGCTGAATACACTTGTTTGGTTAGTGAGACTCCTAGGTCTACACAGCTTCATGATCAAGAAAAAAGGTCCAAATGCTAAGGAAAAGTTGTGATAACCAAACTTGAAAATGAAAACAGATCTTTTCAAATCTCTTACTGAATTTATAAAGCCCTTTTTTTGTTGAATTACTAAGATTACTGAACCAGTATTTTGTTTTCAGATGCCTGAGTTGTTTTGCTTTTACACATGCACACATACACACACAAACAGCTTGCTGTAAATTGTGTTGATAATACAGTAATTTGATTTAGATCTTTTTTCCCTTTGGGTTAATTTACTGCCAACTTTTATCTGCAAAGGCAAATAAAAACTTCTAACTGAAAACAGAACTATAATATTCAAACATTTTAATTGCATTATGAACTTCCTGCTGAAACTGCACCAGATTTTAAAATATAATTATATATGGATTAAAGTCTGAGAAACATACCTGACTACTACAGTAACATATTTATTCACAAAACAGAAACTGCAAAAATGCCACAAATTCCCTGCTAAAATGTCTTAACAAATTACCATGACAAATTTCCAAAGACAATTGCTCCATCTCCATTCGTTCCACAGAGAGGGACATTTACAGTGATAGTACATTTCCATTGTACGAATGTATCTTCTGTTACTGAGCTCTCCAAACATCTCTGATAGAGTTAATCCAAATGTACACAACCACACATATTCCAAGTCCATGTCAAATACAGATGTTGGAGCCCCCGAGAGATCAACTGTTTCAGTACAGTTAGAGGTCTGTATTTATGTTATTTCCAGAAAACTCCGAGGGCTGCCTATTTCATTACTTATCATTTGGGTCAATAAATCCTCACATTCACCTCCAGTGAATTACCTATTTGCTATGTTAGACTACTTCCTCATGTTTAATAGAAAATTTTTTAAAGCTGTAAGCTGCATTAGGCTTTTCTTGATTCTGAACTATATTTCAAATCATTAACTCTAGTGCCTTACCTATAAATGTGCATTTCTTTAAGTTGCAAGTCTTTTAATGTTTTCTGATATTGAGAAGCCTTTATAAAAAAATAAAATAAAAACTTTATGTGAAAGAAAAACAAGTAAAAATAATAGGGTAATCAAAGTGATGTGGTTTTATCAAAGAATTAAACTAATGGTATGTTTTGAAGACATTTCCACTTGGAAGCTCCACTCTTTAAAGCCATTAAAAAAAAAATAAACTTGCTACCCCTGGAATTCATCCATTATTTCATTCTGCTGGAGAATAAATTATGGCTATTACACGTTGGCTTCCAAGATTCAGAAAAATGCTTTTAAAAATCACATTTAACTTTCAAAATACAATTTTAAGGGAAGAAATATCACAATTGAAAGATTTTCAATCCTTTAAAAATCATTATCTTCTAGGTATCTTTACAAGAAAATAAATTATTATTAAACCAACCAAAGAAAATCCAATTAATATCATTACTGGAATCTGGAAGCTTTGCACTGTATTGTCCACCAAAGGAAGGACATGAAGCAAGATAACCATACTAACAGAATCATGGGGCTCTGACTCTGTAGCTGATGAGGAAATTTTGGGACAAGTGCAAAGAAATTATGTATCAGCTTCTCTGGTGCCTCTGCTACTCCTCCTGTTTAGCAAAGAGAAGCAGTAACAGATCCGAGACAGACTTGTACCTGTTTCACCCTGTCTTCTCAGGATGCTAGATGCAGCAATGAGACTCTCAAGAACTCATTTCCAGTAACACTCTTGCAGTACTGCAACACTAACTCCTCTGAGTACTAGAAATTTCCACGAGGAATAACAACTCAAAAGTTAAGCCTATAAAATTGCAAGATAAACACGTGTCAGCTTCAGTGACGCTAAATTCATGAGACGACCCAAAGCATCTGAGTTAGTCTTGAAACTAAATTATTCACAAAACTGAAAAACAGCTTTTTAAAATCCTCTCACTTTTGAAATTTGCTTTCTGTTTTCAAAGTTTTCATTGCAATCAGAGAAACAGAGTTTAAAAAGAATAAACAAATACTGAACTATAATGCAATATTCTGTGGTTCTGGCATCTAAACCTTAAGTTTAAAAAAATTATTAATGAAATTTACTATATCTGATTATCTCCTTCCATCTTTTATTTGTATTGCTTCATTAATAGAAAATTAATAAGTGAATTGCTAAATCACTGGCTGTAGTACATGCATCAGGATTACAGAGGAATTATCACAGATTAAATCAGAAAGATTTGTAAGACCCCTTTTAAAATGTCTGCAGCTCATCAACTACTTCAAGGCAAGTACTCTGGAATCAAAGCCTAAGAATTGTATGGTCAAGGCAGTCTAGAGCTTTAAAAAGTAGAATATAACATCAAAATCTTCAAAGGGAGTGAACAATTCCAGATGCCTTGCCTGAAACATGCTGTTTCTATTCAAAGAATAGGTTTAATATTCTGGAAGCATAACACCTTTCTAATGGAGGTCATCACAGGAACCCTAAATTAAGGCACCCCTATTCATTAGCTTTTGGAAATTTTAGTCAAGTAATATTGCATCATTTTGTAAATCCCACCTGAAGCCCTAAGCCTTTGTTTATAACCCACAATTCTTACAAGTTTCATTGACCTGACTGGTTCCTGATCATATATCACATAACATAACCATGACTCCAAATTATTTCTCTAGTTTGTAAAAGAAAATAAAAGCTAAAACTTTCAGTATCTGTATTCCACTGAGAAACAAGCTAGACTAACAAAATACTATGCAACGTTAACTTCAAGGTGTAGCATTACACCAAGAGCTAACGACTTACTACACATCATAACCTAATTAGATGGAATATATAATGTAACAGGTTTTTTATTAATAAAAACCGTTTTTATATTCTACTGGCACATACTTATAACAACCTTCAATATTACCTAACATGGTTTTTGTAGTTGTCTGAAATTACTGATGTCTTGTTGTTTTCTAGACAGACCAGTTAGATTGAACATATTTTAAGAATTTAAAAAAATTATCTAGTGTTTAGTGATTAGAGTTCTGAACAATTTTATAAAGGACAACATCAGAGTATTTCAAAACCAAGTCCTGAAATGACACATTTTCTGTATTTGTGTTCCAAGTGTAGTATTAATGCTATAGTTAATACAGAGAGGACAAGTTCTTGACACAGCCCCAACAAGACTTAAAATGGTGACATGATTATTATACTTTTCAAATACTGCAAGTTGTCTGCCTATCTGATAAAAAAAGTCAGTTAAGTACTTCTAGCAAATTAGTTTCACAACATACAAGTCAAACTTCTTAGAAACTTCTACCTCTAGTAGTTACAAAGATCTCAGCCGAGAGATGTATAAGATTTCCATAATTATAAGTCCTCCCATTAGAAGACAGGCTTCCTCAATACTACAGAAAGTGAGGATGTCAGCTGGACCCAGCTGAATGTGATCAGTATGCCTTCTGGCTCAAATCTAAGGGTGGAAAAGCTGAAACTTAATCTGGCTGATCAGACTGGAAGACCTAACAACCACAGTTGCTCAATAATTGTTTGGGTAAAAAAAGCAAATTTGAAACAATGATTAGTAACACTGAGTAGTCAGCTGCTATACTAAATTCTTGTGAACCTCTGCAAATATCTTCAGTTTTAAGCACACTATCTTGCCTTCATCAGAAAAAAAATAAAAAAAAAATAAAAATTGCAAGATAAATAAATTCTTACAATGGGCTAAACTGGAATGGTTATCCTCATTTCACATAAATATTACCATAAACCAGTAATCAAAAATAGAAAACATCCATTCTGGTGATCTGTATTTTTCCACATAGTTCTGTAGACACCCAAGAGGTTCAATC